TGTGTTCAGAAAAAGTCGTTAACGATTTAGAGCACTAGGTGCTCTCCTATGGGATAGCTGTGTGCCGTCCCCCAAAGATGAATCGCTACACCATGATAAAATAAAGGAGGTTACGCCAAGCGAGGCTAATGTGGGAACCTTTTCTACACAAAGTCTGTCTTCTGGTACTAGTTTTCTTTAGTAAGCATCAAATTCAAGGCCAATTTTATTGGAGATTAAGTCAGCGATACTCTTCTGTGTAGGTTATTTCATAAGAAACAACTATCTTTTTATTTATGAATAATGAGTGCGGGTTTCCTCCTCGATTCAAAATAGTGCACACGTGCCATACTTTTAGCCTGGCCGTGAAGGTGGCTACCAACTACTACGACGACTACTACTACATATCGTTAATACACGACCCACGGCTTGAGGAGCTTCGCCCCTAAAGAGGAACTAGTATCGGAAGGATACACTTAGAGCACTATCTCACCAGAAAATATTGCCACATTAAACTCGCTGGGCGTAATTTCTTTGGTTTCAGCAAGGTTTAGGGAGGGTTGGGCCGCAGTGCCATGAATATAGTGAACTAGTATAGAGCCATGAACTAGAAGCGATGAAAGGTAGGAAGTGGACACTAGGCGAAGGTCGTAAGAAACAGCATAAGTGCCACGTATTGTTTAGTCCTTGGAATGTCCGCTGAATTACGGTACTTCTATATTCTGAATGTATCATGGAAAGATGCGAGATGGCACTACTTGGAGTTTTCACTAGATGGACGGACGGACAGACAGACAGACAGACAGACAGACAGACAGACAGACAGACAGACAGACAGACAGACAGACAGACAGACAGATGCGTGGATGAATGCATGGATGGATGGACGCTCGGAAGTACGGAAACATGGACAGACGGATGGACGCACGGACGGATGGACGCATGGACGGTCACACATACGGACGCATGAACGGACGGAAGCAAGAATGAACGGATGGACAAACGCTTCGCCCCACTCATCATCATAAACTCCGTGGATATGCTGTGAATTTTTTCCTCGGGTTCCCATTTTCATAGCCTTTATCATGCCTGTTTATTTTCTCATCGTCAAGTTTAATCTTTGAGGTTTATTTATCCTTTGATTCGCTCCCAACGATTTTGACAACGTTGCAAGTACATCATTATCATCAGCCTTACTACGCCTACAACAGGGCAAAGGCCTCTCCGCCAATCAACCTGGTCTTGTGCTTTCTGTTTTCACGTTATAACTGCAAACTTTTTAATCTCATCAGCCCACCCAATTTTCTGTCTCTCTCTCGTGCGTGTGGAATCCAGTCAGTTACCCTTAATGAGCAGCGGTTATCTTGTCTATACGCACTACGTGCCGGGTCCGTTTCCATTTCTTCTTCTTGATTTGGACTATGATATCTTTAGCCGGTTTGTTTCTTAACCCACTCTGCTCTCTTCTCGTCCCTTAGTGTTACACCTATCACTGTCCTTTCCATCACTCGCTGCGTCCTCCTCAAGCGAAGCCGAATTCTCTTTCTAAGCCTCCAGGTTCCTGCTCCGTAGGTATCTACCGGCAAGATGTAGCTGTTTTATACCTTCCTTCTGAGGGACAGTGTAAACTTGTGGTTTGGCTTTGCGGTTACTTTACGTCCCATAAAATTTGTCTTGCATTTGATGCTTAGTAAAAAACCAATAATAATACCGTCGGAAAGTGTACTGTCCTGCGTGCGTACACTTTCACAACATCAAGTGCACTGCTATTTATCTCGAAGTGCTGTTCTCTTACGAGGTTGTTGTGCATTACTTTCGTTTTATGCATATTCATTTTCTGACCTACTCTTCTGCTTTACATGTCCAGTTCAGTAATCGTGAGCTGTAAGTTACTCCTAAAGGCAATTCCATCAGCGAATCGCAGGTTACTAAGACACTATCCAATAACTCGTATCCCTAACTCTTCTCAAACTAGGGCAATGAAAAACCTCCCGTAAACACGCAATGAATAGCACTGGAGACATCCTGCCTCACAGCCTTACACCTTTCTTTATTGGTATTCTATCACTTTCTTCATGGAGAAATATAATGGTTGTGATTCCGCTGGATTTCTTCCAGTGTGTTTATGTAGGGTTCGTCGATGCCCTGATTCCCTAGGGCCTGCATCAGTGCTGATGTCTCGGCTGAGTCACACACCTTCTCGTAATCTATGAAGGCTATGTATGCGGTTGGTTGTATTCCATGCGTTTTGTATGACCTGATTGATAGCATAAATATGGTCTAGTGTGGAGTATCCTGTACGAAATCTTGCTGGTCCTTTGGTTGATTGAACTCTAATGTCGCCCTAATTCTATTAGCTCTTATTTTTGTAAATAGTTTGTAGGTAATGAAGAGTATGCAGAGCCACCTGTAATTTTTCAATTTATTGACGTCTCCTTTTTTGTGAATTGAATTGATGTGGGCGTTCTTCAAAGATTCTGGTACCTTTCCCGTCAAGCGAAACTTCGTAGGTGGCCAGTTTTTCTAACACAATTTCTCCGTCATATTTCAGCAGGTTTGTTGTTACCTTATCCTCATCAGCGTATTTGTTTCTTTGGATTCCTTCCAAGGCTTCCATTACCTTCCGTGTCCTTGCTGGCAGGATGATAAATTCCTATGGGCTGTTATTGCTTCTACAATATCTTCCTGGTTGTTTCGGCTTCTGTGCAGCTCTCTCTAGAACTCCTCAGCCACATCAACTATCCTATTCATAGTGGATATTGCCATGGGGTCGTGACGTGAACGAATGAAACTGACTGCAGGTCGAATGATAAACTGTTAAATCGGGCCGAACTTGTGGCCACGTAAAAGGAAAGTCAGATTACAGCAAGAAGCTGGCACTGATAGCGGCGAGCAGGGCATCGGCCGTCGATCAACTGATAAGCGGCGAAGCGCGTCGGCATTTATACACTTGCCATCGAACGTTCTAGCGTTATCGCTAGTGGTGACGTAGGTTCCAAAATAACCTGTGTTGTTCGTGGAGTGGGTGTGATGTTATCGAAATGATCTACTACACTCTTGATGCTTCTCGAAGACTGCAGGTGCGGTCTGCGCTGAGTATTTCGTAGTGTATACGGGCGATAAAAAAACTTGAGAAAAGGAACGTGGCAATATGGCATTGCCTTCTTTGTCCCTTAATGCATAAATCTGATTTTTGCTGCTGCACAAGATTGCCTTTGCAGCTCTTAGGCTTCAGCTTCTTTTTACAGCTTTCTCGATTTTCTCCATGCAATGCCTTCTGATGCCAGCTACTTATGCCTATTTAATCACTTCGAAAGCTCCACTAGCTCTATTTCGGCGGTTGCATTCGGGGCTTTCATGGTTTGTCGTCTCTTACACCGTTTTTTTGTTGCCTGTGATAGTTTCTCAGTCTCCTGTCTAGTGGCTAACCCTCCTACTGTTATTGCCCACTCTTTCATGATACTAGTAAAAGTATCGTTCATTGCGTCAATGCTAACGTCGGTTACCTCGTTTAGGGGCGCGAATCTATTCAGAAGCAAAACTCTGAATTCATTCAATTTACCTCTCATCGCTAGCTTATTAGTTTACTTCTTGCGTATCAGTTTATGCCTTTTCTTTCTTAAATCTATGTGAATTCAAGCACTGACTATTCCACAGTCACTGCATTGTACCTTGCCAACTACTTCTACGTGCTATACTATGCCTCGGTGTGCACACAGAATGAAGTCTATTTCATTTTTAGTTTCGCCATTAGCACTCCACCACGTCTAACGGCTGGCCTGTTTTCCACAGAAGGTATTGAAGATCCCTAAATTATTACGTTCTGCGAATTGGAGCCGACGCTATATCCCCCACTGCATGGTCTCATTCACACCCACCAATTTTACGGGGCGTGGGTGTAGCCGCCTTATTCCCTCCCCCTCCCCGAAATTTTTCTCATTTCATATATATACACGCACACATGTGAACGAACATACGTAATGCATGGTTAACTAGACCCCACCCCCGAAAAAAACATTTCTGGTTACGCTATGCTGCTACTTGCACCACGAAATTTTTGGAGCCCTCCACTGCGGCATCTCTCATATTCATATGGTGGTTTCGGGACGGTAAACCCGATATATCAATCAATGCTACTTGCACCAGACGTCATTATCAACTGATAATAGTAATATTCTCTGGGTTTCAACGCACCGGACGTCATTATCAATGGATAACAATAATAATATCTGGGTGTTAACGTCCCAAAACCACTACATATGATTATGTGAGACGCCGTTGTCTAGGGCTCCGGAAGTATCTATAACACCTGGTGTTCTACAGTATGCACTAATGTCGAACAGCACGCGGGTCTCTACCATTTTGTCTACGGGCCTACAACATTTCCGCCTCCGTCGAAAATGCAGCCGCCGTAGCCGACATTTGACCCCGTGACCTGCGGGTCAGCAGCCGATACTGCTCCACTACGGCAAACTCACTATACACTGAACTTGTCTCCTTTTCACTGCTGGCTGATGCGGGTAAAAAGTTTTTGTTCACACTGGTGAACTGCAATACCCTTTACCCGGACTTTTGAGACCTTTATCGCTGTTGAATAGCTTAGCAAATAAATATTTTTTGTCAGAATCATATTTGTCGTATAAATATTCCGGAACGAAGCCTTGCTATTATTTGTATATTGTACGCCTCGTGGTAGTTACCTAGTTAATTAAGTTAGCGTTTGCAGGCCCCCATCCTGTTGATTTGTAGCTCTGAGGTTACCTTTTACCACAGTTCAGCTCCACAAAAGCGAATTCATGCATCACACCCACCCAGCACAAGAATGTTTTCGTCACTTTCATGGCACGGGTATTGTTTCAGAATGACATTGTGAGTGTAGCGCGAAGCGCCTGACGTGAAAATGGCTCGTGGTCGCGCCGTTCCCTTCTAATGAATTTTGATGATGCAGTGCCTAGACAGACGAGCAAGCTTGAAAACCTTGATGGAATCCGTATTTGCCCCAGTATAGAGAATCCTTCCGCTTTTGCATTGATATGTTCCTTTTATTGATCACATTTCCTCGAGTGGATGTTGTGGTTATTCACTGCACAGGACCAGCCGCTGGAACCATCATGGTCACTTCGGTGCCTTGTGTTTGATTTCCATCTTGGTTCATCTCCACGTTACATCTGCAGAAAAAAACATAAGCATCAACAGCATTAAAACAAACATTAGATACTATGAGCTGCGCCAGGACTTTGCCTGAGAAAATAGAGCCACGTGTATAATTCGTAATGCGTTGGAGAAAAGATGCAATCGCGAGTCGCTTTGAAATGCAAATACAGCCTAACTTGAAATATTGCAGCCCTACTTCTGATAAAGACAGGAAGGACAAGTGCATGACAGCATGGTGGCTCAGGTCGATACTAATTTTGTAGAAAATTTTATGCTTAAACTAAATAATATCGTTTCTTAAGAACGTATTATCTACACAAAATAAGAGTTGAATGTGTTGCCCTACTTTTCAAACTGGTAAATTGTCGTCCAGGTAAGAGTCAGTCTATTTGTTGCTTAATCTGGTTTGAAGTTTCTCTGAAAATTTTGCCGAGGCAGAAGTCATAAGACTGCTGTAAGCGCCCAGACGCGCAGTCAAGTTGTTACTCCCTATAAATGTTTCGATGCGTTACGCATGTATCATGTGTATCATGGAAGAGTGACAAAAATAAGAGTGCATCAATATCCGCATTCGTGCGTAGTTAGCCCATTTTCAGTGTAAGAACAGCATCCTGTGAATCTGCGTCACACAGACATTACTGGTGAGTAGCTGGTCGGAGAAATTAAGAAACAATTATCTTAGGCGGTTCAACACCGCAGCTATTAGTCCAGAAAAGTTTGAGTGGAGCCGCCTGGTTTAAAGACTGGATTACGTCACGACAAGGACTCTTGACGCCTGCCGTTGTGCGCCTACATAATATGCCCTCGCTTAGTACGCTGTCTCGTTTGTTTCATGCGTTATTTGGTTGTCTGAAGCTAGAGATTAACGACAGAACCAGCATCAATAATGTTCCTGATAAAACAGTAAAAAACGTTTACTTTTGGTCCTTTTTTTCACACACACTTCATTCATACGCACTGAAATTTCGCTGTGAAATTGCAGTTTTGGGACGGTAAACCCCACATATCAATCAATCAAATTTCGCTGTGGTGGCAGCGCGATTTTCTGAATGACATCAGCGCAAAACTCGCAAGCACGGGCGTAACTGTCCTGCATGTCGCGTTATATCACGTAGTGTGCTGAGTTTGACTGCAAGAACGAATGAACCAATAGTCAGAGCTTTTGTTCGGACGTAGGATTGTGGTTGTCCTCTCTATAGATATACGCGGTTATGCATGGCGCAATGCAAATGATAAGAAAACATTCGGCATGTGCCGACACATCAGTGACAATACTAACTGTTTAATGACAATACCAAGGACTACTCTGTTCTCTCTTGTTTCTATATGATGCACTATAAGGTAAAGATTCTGGGCTAGTTCCGTTTCCTTCTCGCGTGTCAGTGAAGGAGCAGGTGCAGTGACGTGCTGTGAAGCGCATGAATTCCAATTCACGTGAAATTTATTCAGAAACGAAAGCAGCGTTGGAGCAGATAAGTATGCCTGTACGCATATGGTTATCAATATTTATAATATAAATGTCACCTTCACTACACGTCCTTCAAGTAGACTGAACGCTTTTCGAGCGTTTATTTTCACTTTAACATGTAATCACCTTTATTGCTGGATTGCGTCATAACTGGTTTCAATTTGCAGGCCTCAGCTTAAGTATAAGGCCTTTTGACGCAGTAAAATGGTCTTTACGTACTCCCGATGGGACATTTATGAAATAGGTGTTGTAGGCAAATAATGATCATTGACGCATACGAAATGCCTAGTATTTACCAGTGATGCGAAAACTCGCTTCGCTACTCCACATTTGTCAGCCGTTCAGGTCAACGAACGTCGACGAAGAATGCTTTTCAGACTGAAGTTCATTTGTAAAAATGCCAATTTTCCTATATGTTGATCGTGTTTTTCTGTCCTTACCTTTTTCTCCAGCGTCCTCTGGTCCTAGACATGTGCTCTACTTGCATCCTCCGCAGCCGCATCCTCCCGAGCCACACTGGCAGGATGCTTTGCATCGGCAGTTGGGGTCTGCGGGTCAATCAGAAAAATCAGGCACACGTTATCGCATCGTACGGGCTCTATCGCAGTTATTTCAGGTGCTTTCACGATATTTGCGCGCGCAAATATAATGTTCAGTTGACTGTGCGGAACCAACATGACAACCAGAGTCTGGTGGCTAGTAAGTGTCCGTATAGATTACGCTAGCAAACTGATAGTATCAGTCACTATCAAGGCACTGAACTAGGGCCTGGATCCGAGCTGTGTATTTGGCGGGCAAGGTGACAAAACAGAAGTATACGCGAAGCAGCCAAAGACACGGACTGTGAAGAAGACAAAGCGCTCGTCTCAGTCGCTTCGCTATCCGCGTCTTTCGCGCTTCATCACCCGTAAATGTGCACTGTTTCTCGCTGTAAGGCTATAAAAACTGCGTTGGACGGTTGTCATAGGCCTTCTGTTTCGAAAAAAAAAATCTGCCCTGGATTAACGCTTGTAACAGTTGACGTAGGCCTTCACTGCGTTTGTCGAGAACGCCGATTCGAGAGCTATCTTGTTTGCGAAACACTCGTACTGTTTCTTCTGCCAAATGGGCGTGGTCATGTTCCCTCAGTCGCACCAGCCGTGTCGCGCCCGCGTACATTTTACGTGCACCAGCCGATGAGCTGTGATTAGAAAGAACGTCGACGACTTCGAAGCACTATATTTAGTGTACAACGGGAGTGTGTAGCAGCCATGGCCCTCTTGTACGGTTCGAAACTGCGACGAGCCTCCCGCAGTCAGCCAGGCTTGGTGCAGTGGGTCCACGTGGTCACCCAGATCATCTAGAGACCACGACCACTGACTTTGGGTGTCACCTTCATAGATGTAATTTTATTTTGTTTCTGCGTTTTGAAAACGTACCTAAATAAAATTACAAGGTACTGTAATATGTGCAGCGGCCATGACTCTACTGTGGGAGAAGCATAGATCCTCCCCGTGACGTTTCGTGACATGTGTGCGTTGTCTTTAGAAAAAGCGTTTATCGAATGAGAGTACTTGGTGATCTACCAAGGGTGGGCAGAAGACCATCCCAGACAGAGGCAAATCATGTTGACTTTCACAGCGGCAGAACTTCTTCGGTCTTAATTCTCTGTTCCTCTTGAACCCCTATTTTTTTTCAAAAACCACCGCGCTTTTCCAAAGTATGGAAGAATTATTTGTACAGCCATTTGATAGCATCGCTCAAATATTTCTCTCTCACATAAACCAATTTATGAGTTTTTCGAAGTAGCAGATTGCCTTTATAGAAAAGATGCAGACTTTCAACCAGTAATTTACCGACGTCACTTCAACGCCAGTTCCCTTTTTACATCGTAGTCTCATCAAGAGGTTATAAGTTTTCTCCGGAAAACAAAGTTATACTCAAGAACGCCAGTCTTCACATGAAAACAACTCTTCAACGCAAACGAAAAGCTCAGCACACTCTACACATAGATTTTGCGGAAAACATCATCCCTTGCCTCACTTGTTCGCTATAGAAACACGAAAAGTGAAATGGCTCAGTCTTACCTCCGCACTTGCAAGGGCCGTCCATGTCTCCGGCTCAGAAAGTCAGGGGCTCCAAGAGGCTTCGTACGATCAGTGTCTACGGACGTCTGATGTGCACATCTCCAGCGGCGACCGCGCTTTTATACTGGTGGTGCCATTTATTTTTCGATAGAGAGTGAGAGAGATGGAGGAAGGGCGCGTGCATTGGTTGCCGTGCGCAAACTCCGCTCTGATTGGTGTTCTCCTCTCCTGCTTCTCTGTTGTCTGTCTACGCTGCCCAATCATAACCGTCCTCTGCCAGCACTGATGAGGTTCGCGCTGCCCAATCATAACCGTCCTCTGCTAGCACAGATGAGCTTCACGATGCCGCACCCTGGCAAGCCACCGCCCATACACACACATGGTTTTATACACGGAGGAAGGAAAGGTAAGGATAGGGCATGCCCAGCCGGCGCAGGGCGTAAAAAATGTGGCGGAAATTACGTCACGCACGGCCATATTCACTAGGCACAATGTTGGCGTTTTGTTATTGTTGATGTAGTGCGGTGCGGCACCGTTCAGGCGGTCCAGCGGCGGTGTGCGCGTTTTCATGGGCCTTGCACCTAACCGTGGCGTACTGCAGATGTTCGACAGCATTCATTTTTTGTGCCGCATTGTCAGCTACACCATTTTCCCCCGATGGTGGTTGTAACCAGGTGTCTGAACTAGAAACCACAGAACGAGCGCGTGTATACGTACTCCGAATTTGCAGCGTCCGTCAAAATTATGCTGAAAAGCCATCATAGAAGATAACGACTGTGCTCAAGAATTCGTTCAATGAATGCCTTGCAGGTTATTGACAGTTATGCGGTGTTGCTTCTTATGACAACGGACAATGAATTTGCCGTCCACAGGCCCTTATTAAGACTGTAATCTAATCTTGCTTTTCGTGTTCTTGTACAGTTACTGGTTGGCGGTTGGCGCTGAGTTGTGTTCCAGATAAGGAAGAGAGAAACAAGCGCCTTCTCTTTATTTTCCTCTAATGACTAGCCACTTATCCCGGAGACATCTTCCCTCGCATTTGACTGGCTTCCTCTGCCGTCCTTGGCGGCTGTGTCGACGCGTGCAGCTTCCCGCAGACCTTTTCTCACGCATTTCTTCGGCTAACTTTCCCACCTTTTGCACTAACGCGATCCTGGTCACCGTTCTCCGTAGCTACTAGTGCGCGTGAATCACACTGGAGACGTGTTCCTACGCACTTTCGGGTGGTCGTCACTGCTTTCGTCCTAATGAAATCATGGCCTTTGGGATATCCGTACGAACCAGTGCGCGTCGGACAAAAGAGGGGCGAAAACAAAGAGGCCGGCGCAAACTCAATGGGCTGCCACGCACACAAGCTCCACCGACGACGAATTTACTGGCATAATTAGAGACCTCCGGGTTTATTGCAGGGAAGAATTTTTTTCTTTTTTATCGTTGTGTCTAGCCCACAGCCTGACCGAAAACTGCATAAAGCCTAAAGAGAAGCGAAAAAGGGGGAAAAAGTGATCTGAAAGAAGCTGTGCAAATTTCGGTGCCTCGTTCGTCACCCGGCAATGTCTGAAATATCATCTCTTTATTTTCACAAAGAACACATCAAATAAAAAAAGCTTGACGTGCAACTTGCCGTGTTTATCGTAAACGCCGGCAGCGCAAGGGTACGACAGCCATACGCAGAGATTTCGTCAACCGTATACCGCGGCAAGACAGCGTGTTGAAATCCGTTCCGTTGGTTTCATATAGCACCGACGCACGCGGCGCGCAGGCCACGTCCTTTTTGAGACAGAGAGGGAGTCACGCCTTCTGCTTCACATTCACGTGTAAACAAGAGAGGAGAATTTGCCTAGTCAATACGGCCGATTTCCGGCTTCATCGCGGCTTCAAAACGAGTGACGTCAGGGCCTCTCCTTACCTTTCCTTCCTCCGTGGTTTTATAGTTGCGTGCTCCAGAGAAAGCACATTTTAGATAAAAAGATAACGTGAAAAGCGAAGCGGGGGTGGCCCCGCCAACAAGTAACCATCTGTGGCAAGGTGGTTGCATTCGGGGAAGCCCTTGGTGCATTGAAAATTAAGCGAACTCTGCGAAACAAAAGCAATAGTCGTTTATATCAAGGTGCCATACCAAAAAAAAAAACTATTAGAGAATGGTGTTGTAGTTAGGACTCGGTTTTCATAGAAGCAGTTGTAAGGGCTGCTTGCGGTTGAACAATTTTCTTCGTGGCTTGCTTCGAACGACGTAACTTTGTAAAATAGCGAGAAGACAAATTATGCGTCTAGACTGAGCCGAGGTGTGGGGAGAGTTCGTCGACACGTTTCATTGCGGTCCTGCGTCGAGAAGGTCAATGGGGAGACCTCACCCACGCTCGTATACCGTATCGCCGCCAGTACAAGCGTCATTCGAAAAAAAAATGGTTGAAGATTTAGAGTACGCTGTACACTTGCTATGGAAGAGCAATGAACTGTCCCGGTGTGATGCCAAACAGGGCGAAAGCTAATGTTGTAGTAAATGCCTAATCGCCATTCTTTTTTTTTTTCGGTGATTAACAAGGCGAGCGTCCAGGGTACACAAAGTGTATCTCTGCGCAATCAGATCACTTATGTTTCAATCACTCGTTCAGGTAATAAGTAAAAAAATTATCAGTGAGAAAAGTGATTCGGTAAGTACATAGCCTCCGCAAAGAAGGCCACAATATGCTTTGACCAGTACGAATTTTTCTAAAAGCACCTCGTCGCTAATGTCATGGTTAGTTCCTGACTACAAGAGAAAATGACAGGCAGTTTTTCTGTATTTACTAAATTTGGTTACGTCCAATGACTCGGCAGTCAGCACAGTGCAGCGTCACGTGTAATGAAGTGATGCTTCTATCGCTACGGTATACTAAAAATTTCCAATGCATGCTTTAGCTCATTTGTAAGTGTTTAACACTTACAAATGAAAGTGGTTAACAATTTTGAGTCCTTAATATACTCTTCTATGGGAGGGCATAAAGGCATCCTGTGGGCATCAAACTTGATAAGGCCCTGTTCTCGCCATACTGAGTAAAAGGCTTTACGTAGCTTATGTCGATGCAACTTAGCTTTTCGCTGTCAATAAACACACTTCCTAGGAGGCAGACGACGCCTTCTAAGCTATTCGCGTCTTGTACCTGAATGGGGTACCACCTCTTCGAGCTTGGCCTTCATAGTTGAAACTTCCTGCTGAAGTATATTTCATGTTCAAGGAACGTTAATAATCTTATTTTGATTGTACCAAGGTAATAGTTATAATATTGATCTCCTCAGAAGGAAGTTTTTGAGTATACTTTTTCTCTATCCTACTGTCGCAGTACAATAATCAATAGAACCCCTTTTATTATAACTAGTATCTTGGTATGATCAAAAAAGATTATTAACATTTCTTGATTGTCATTTATACTTCGTCAGGAAACTTTAAATTCGTATGCAACGCTCGGAGGGGTACTTGGAAATAACATGGGTGATGTAAACTTCCCCAGTCCGTATATTGTACTTACCATAAAACCTCATTAGTATACCCGCGAGGAAACTGCACTGCTCTAGGTGCAGCGTAGTTTTTTGTTTTTTTTTTTTTTTTAGCGAGTGCCTGTTTACCGAATCGCAAGAGCGAACGCCTATTGCACATGAAATTACTGCTTAGGTTTTGTCCCTTATTTCAGGTGTAATTGAACCTATCCTTATAAGTTAGTTATTCAAGTTATGCACGCAATATTTATGCAGGTCTGTGCCTTGGTCTTCTCTGTGTTGCAGTAATTAACCAATGGTATATCATGGCCTTCCATGAGAAAATAAGTGTAGATATTGTTGTTTACTTCCCATACTGCACAATCTACTGGGCGAACTGTACATGCATGAGACTGTCGTAATCACGCCGTGAAACACCATGCATTGATTTCTCAGTGATGTTTTCTTTATGTTTGCGGACAAGGTTGTACTTATTGAGTACTATGTGAGCAAATTCAACTCGGCTGTAGCACGTCATCATTGCTTTTATGGAACCCCAACTAAACAGCTTAGCCTGGCTATTAAAATTTGTCCAGCTAGCTCTTCAGAAATGTCGTATGTGACACCTCTTCTGCGCATGACCCAATGAGTGTTGGCGCGAAACAAGGGGGGATACAATACCACAAAGTTTCATATTCGAATACGAAGAGTGGATAGGTGGCATCACCGTCATGTTCGAGGCGGGATTGATTTCGGGGGCATCGGCAGCGTTCCAGGAAGTGTTTAGATAAACAGCTGAAAAATACGTTCCAAACAGTTCACTGTGAATGCAGGAAATGATGTGCAGCGCGTAACAGGGACTGGAGATGATGCGCCTGCGTCGTCTTTCTTTTCTCTTCAGTGTCTGTTACGTACTGCACCCCACCTTTCGCATTCGTAATGAACTGTTACCAACTAGCCCAAATGGCTGTTTTGCTACATCAAAAACGAGCTACCATTCATATCAGTGAGCCTTAAATTCACGTTTAAGATTTTTCGAAGTGTCCTCCTGAGCGCCGTGCATCATTGAGCACAATATTCAGTACATAAACACAAATTTAGAGACCCTAAAGCTTCGCTTTTAGGAGTTGAACGCGATAGCGACAACCTGTTTTAGTGCGTATTTCAAACACTTAGTGCATGAAACCTTTTCGAATTCGCTTCTCACCCACTATAGGTATGAGTAATAAAGCGTTTTGTAACAGCAAAGGAACAACCACGCGTCACACAATGCTAATAGCGTAACGAGTGGGTCGTCCAATGTTCCAACACATCACAAACACTTGTTCTTGATCACCTATTAAGTGTGGCGCCTATACCCACTTCAGCCATAGTTCCTCATCTTCGTCAGCCACTGCATGGACAATCGGCACAAAATTCCTTGCAAGTGTTTAGCGGATACCACGCTTCTCGGAAGAATGACGAAGAACAGCATATAGCGAATGCCGGCCTACTACCCAGAAATTATGGCCAATTATGCCATAGTGGGTACCCAGCGAGTGAGCTTGCAGCAGTTACCCAATGGGGGTTTAAAAAGGCTCTGAAAGGCTGCGCTTCTAGCTTTTGCTGTGACTTTCTGTGCCTTCCGTGCAGCACTGGCGTTCTTTTCTGGAAAAGGGCTCGGC